ATGTGTAATAACACTGAATGTCCTAAATTTATTCTGGAGTTCCTATTTCAAAATACCAACATTTCGCAGGAAAAAATCACCATCCATAGGTGAAATATCAAATACATTCTGGCTTTAACTGCGTTCTGAGGGGTGAGGCAAACCCTAAGAATGTTTACTTCTGAATTAATGAATATTTCTAAAAGACATGATTTAAAATGCTTATAAATTTTTCAGCTTTAAAAGTTAGTGAGTTTGCAGAATGCTCATATATTTTCTGTATGATTTACATGACATCGTGGTAATGAGTGTGCACGAAAATTTATAAATTAATATTAAAAACCGATAAATATTTAGCGTATAGTTAAAAATTATTTTACATATTTCATTTTGTTCTTATCTAATTTGAATCTGACGATTCAGATTTTAAAAGGATAAAGTAACTGAATTTTGTTTTCCGTCGTTAATTATATTTTACTCTTTGACTTCCCATGTCTTCAGTTTAGAAATATCACTTTTTAGTGCTATTTTAGCGGAAATTACATCATATTCTAACAATGCAATTAGTATTTCATATGAGTTTGTCTATTTCTTACATTTAAATCAAGATAAGTTAAACATGATTTGATGTTTAAGCATTCTATGATCCTCCCTCCATGCAGCATTTTTAAAATGCTGCCTAAAAACATTTTTGTAAAATTATTGCATATTTGTTGATGTTAAGATGATTAATGAATCTAGTTTTTTGTTAAAATTAATAACCGATATTAAACGTTCTTTTTGTCATTAGAATAACAGATAAGACATCAAGATATATGATAACAAGTAACCAAAAACGTATAGTGATTTTAAGCATAACTAATTAGTTTCATTCATACACAGCAGATGGCAGCACTACATGATCATATTTAAAGATAACTAATAGATCTGTTTCCAATCCTAAAAATCAAAAACTGCTTTTTAATTTCTTTTCTTTTCTCCTTATTTCTCCTCTCTTTTCTTGTTTTTAAAATTCGGTTTCAAAAAAATGAAATTTTTAAATAAGCGGATATAGGAATTGAATGAGAGACTGAATTTGAAAATTGTGTACTTTTTCTGGAATGCTTAATGGCTTCTATTTAATGTATTACAGAACAATAATATCTTTCTGTAGATTTTTTCTTCTTTTTATAAAATTATTGCAGAATGTCACTTAATGCCAATACATAATAAATTTTATAAGCAGTTAAAAGGAATAAATAAACAAGTATAATAAGTTATTGCATATTGCAACTGGCTCTTGAGCTTTGGTTTTTTCTTTTTCCTTTCTCTCTTTTTCTTCCTCTGCTCGTTTTCAGTTATTTTTCTTTCCATCTGGGAGCTGATTCTAACACAATGAAAAAATATTTTGATCTTAAAAAAAATCTTGGGTAACATTTCTTCTATCTTAAAAGATAATTTTACATCCCATTTCAAAAAGAGAAAGTCAAAGGTTTGGTACTCATTACTGCGAAGTGTATGAGGGTTTTTGATTAGGATGTAAGGAAAAAGGTGACCTCGTCGAGGAATTCCTAAGGAAAACTGGGTCACGTTTACACTACACTCAGGAAAACACAAAAACACTCCTTTTATGGCCCTTTCGTCTGGCTCTGAGCTCTGGTCGAAATACTATAGCATCTAGTGGTTTTATTCTTTCGATCATTGACGGGACTGTATTAAAAGAAGACTTTTTTGATTATAATATTGATATTCTATCTTCTACACGATCAAGGCCTTACTTAATCCAACCATATCTGGAGACCCACCTGTCTTAGCTGGAGATCAACTCTTTAATCTAACCTGTATGAATTTTATTATTGTATATTTTTATTTTTTCAATTTCTTATTTTAATTATTATGATTTGATAATAAAACACAGTACATTCACCTTACAATAGGGTCACATCTTAATTTACATTGGTAAGAAAAAAAAACTGGGAGTCGAAAATGTGTCCGGTGAATTTAGCCAAGAAAACATCATAGCTTAATCTATAGCTTTCTTTACATTGTCTCTGGACTTGCAGGGAACTAGGGCTTTCAATAACTTACAGTTCAGCAAAAATTGTTGAACACGAACCGTTATGATGAAATATTCAGTAACTCTTGGAGTTTCTCAAGAACTGTGTGGAAAGTGAAAAGTGGGCGTGCTCAGTTACTCACCATTAATATAAGCAGCTGAAAACGCATTATACATAGGGGCTGTTTGAAGTATTGAGCTTAAACTAATTGCTAGAAAGACGAAGAAGCTGCGGCAAAGCAATCATTAAGTTTACTTTCTTCTATAGAGACTCAAAATAGAGGAAGGCATTGACACTTATTGATGGTTTAGACGCGTAATGTTTCTCAAGAAGATTTGGATTATCCAATTACCGCAAAGCACACAAGACCTGTCCATCTAATTTCCAACTTAATTTTGACTGAGAGCACCCTGGGGGATGCCATTGCATTGTTTAGTGCTGCTCTTTCCTTTTCATCAACCTCTTAACTTACTGAGGAAGTTATGATGTTTAGCTCATTTGTTTCTTTATGTAGTTCTTTAAAGCAAACAGAAGCGGCCTGTATGTCACTGTACAAATGGAATTAAGATTTCTACAGAAAGCGTAGCTTTTTCTCATTGTTATAAAATTGACACATCTTAAGATGAATCATTTAAAATTAAATTTTGATATTATTCAGAATAATATATTATATAGCCACAAAATATTGCCTTTATTTGCGTTAGAAATATTACCTACAAGTAACTTTGTTGGCGGGTTACTTAGGTGGCGGGTTACTATTGTACGAAATACTGGTTTAAGTTTCGTAATACTTGTATTTCTTCTGACATTTACTATAATTAACGATTTCATATTAAGTGGAGTAAAAGAAACTAATTAATAATTTATATACAAGTAACCAGACAGATTTGTGACGTCTTTTTTATTTTGTGATTTCTTTTAAAATTACCATGATGTGGAAACTTCTCAAGTTTAGAAGAAACTATATTCTTTCTTTCAAATTTTGATCTTTTCTTTGCTAACGATATGGAATACGAGGTATTACGTCTAGTGCATAAGTGAAGTACACACATAAATGCATTTTGCTTGCTACAGAGAAATCTATAATGAAAAATAGAAATCGATAGTACGATAAAAACTTGATATATTTTCGAAGAATACTATGTTTGCCTATACCTTTTCACAAGCCGCTCAGAAGGTATAGAGGCTAGGAGAGCCTACTGCGGCACCGAAGTGCCCGGTTCGAATTCCGGAGAAGGTATGGATGTTTGTAAATGTATAGGGTCTTTTGGACATGGGAGCGTTCTAAATTATATGGCAAGCCGAAAGTCCTCTCGTGCGGATTGGTGGTAGGGGAGAGGGGTGGGAGACCCTCGGAAGACCCCTTGTGGTGCTTTTCCTCAAAATTGGGATGAAAGAAGTCCAACCTCCTTGGGACTCTGGGAACCATTCTTCCATGACATTCATGGACAAGACAACAACAACATTTCTTGAGAAATTTCGGTGTCTCAGTGTTTTCCATAGTCCAGTAAGTTGGCGCATAACCTTGGAGTTGTTCATTTTTTAGTAGGGACTAGCAGGTTAGGAATGCTAAAAGCAGATGATAATTGGCGACCGTACTTTTCGCCAAGCTATTCTTTTGACGACATCTGTTTTACTATTTACTAATAATTATAACGTTATCATTAATTTCAAACTATAATTTCTAACCAAAAATCGATATAACAGTGCCAAATTAGAAAACCGCTATGGTTATGTTACCACAGGAATATTAACCTCTCACCGTATCTGAAGAATGGAATCGTCTAAAGCCGCGTTACTAAAACGCCTTCTTCTCAAAGCAAAACTATTACATCAGTTGGTCTGGAGCTCATGAGAACAGAGATAAAATTATGACTTTAATATCCTGTCCTCAATGCCCTGCGATTGCAAGCCCGAAGCAAGGATGTGGTTTCGATTCCTGTTAAGACTTCTTTATATGCGTATATCCTTGCCCTCCTCCTCAAGAAGGCAAACTCGTTCACCTGTAGTACTCTATGTGCAATATTGTCTATGAGACAACTAAATAACCTAAGGTTTCGCCTATAAGCGAGGAATGCTTTCGAGCACGTTCTACAGTTGGACAAAATTGAAGGGAAAATTTCCTGCCCAATTAGAATGTAATTTAAGTTCAATGCATTAAACATTCTATAAACAGCGTATGATGGATTACTGCTTTTATTAATGGAGAATGCAGATTAAAATGTTTTGTTCTTGTCTTTCGGTAAATTACTCAAAAAATTAAAAAAATACTGCAAAACAGATATTTGGCTTGAATGATTTCTTTAGTTGTACGTCTAAGATTTAAGAGCCCTCTAGGCAAACTTACAATGTTTGCAAAATTAAGTGCATTACAGGCAGTTTCAAGTTATGACAGTCTGAATTTATGATGAATTTGCAGAGAAAATAATACCATCGTAAATGAAGAAGCATGTATAATATTTACTTAATTATCATTTTATTTCAACTTAAGAGGGAAGTTACCTTTACAGACAGAACAGTTCTAATCTTTCCAATACAACTAGATATTTCTAAAAATAACCGAATTAATTTTCTATCACAAGATATATTGAATCATTTTTGTCCGACTGCAATAAAATTGTCAGTATTGCTGGTTTCATATTTATGCGATTGCTTGTAAAAGAACTGATCTTCTGTTTTTGAAGTTAATTATTTTAAAAGCAAGCAATTTCATACATCATACAGTATAAAAATAAAACAAACTGGAAAGAAGCTGTTTTACAGTAAGTACATTCAACGAGAAGCGTCTTAATGCAAAAATATCTAAAACCGTACTTATTTAAACCATATACTCGTATTTAATTGAAACTATCTGAGATAAAGAAATTTCACAACTACGCTTCTCTATGAAAATTTAAATTCTGTATTAGAAAAGTTTAGAACTTACAGCAGACGGAAACATTGTATTCAAAGTTAATGAAATGATATGAAATAAGCGCAACTTACTTTGTAGCTTCTAAAAACAATTCAAGCGCTTGTAGATGTTTCCCTTTTGACTCCATTACGTGACCTAAGTTATTATAAAGCTTTGCATTGTTGTTTGTAACTTGGAGACCAGACTGGAAAAGGGATTCATCAGTTTGCCTGTAATAATAATAATGATGATAATAAAAACAACAGCAACAAAAGCAATAAAAGTATAACGGATTTATAAACGACATCCATATGAAAAGGACGAAAAAAAGATGTACAACTCTTTATAACCTTCAGGTGCTTACTTCACGAGCCTAATCAGGTTTTTTGATTTCTCCTTTACCAAAGTCTTTCCTTTGCACAAATTATCAGCTCTGGCTTGAGATAATCACCCGATCCGAAGTGGATGCTATGCATGCAAGGGTTTCTTCAGAGGACAAACTACAAGAAGTTGCGAAGGGATTTAATTAAATATGACGGGATATCTGAAGTCAGAGATACAAAGGGGGATATTTTAATAATTCCCAGTAGTATGGCTAAAAAAGTTGCTTGTTAGTTTAGCAGTATAGGAAAGATCATTGCCCTGCAACAGCAATGTCATTTGTACAGATGTGCGATTCGCTGGCGAACTGATTCAAAGTTATTATGATTTGATTATTGTTAGTGAGCTGTGATGCATAAAAAGGGACCTATACAGTTCAGTGAATGAACGGTTCTAATCTGATCTCATAAGAAAGTGGTTTAGCTTACGTCTAGTTCTTTGGTGCCTATGTATAAGAACTGCGATGATACGATGCTGGGGGCCATCTGTTGAGAATATCGTTGAATTGAATATGAGAACTGCTCTTTATTGACATGTATTGCAATTAAGACTTAAGGGCAAGTCAGAGATTTTTCTTCTGTGCTTCTTGAGCTCCCATATTACTACCTTTCCTAATGCGTTTAACACGATATGCTGTTGCTGTAAGTCCGTTTTGGGAGATGGACATACGCATATGAAAACTGTGTGCGAACCAGTTGAGTTGAAACAAGAAGATGCTGTAACATACTTTTTTCAATTGTCACCCTTTTGTTCACCAATCAGCAATGAATAAATTTGGCAGTGGTAGCGCCATCTGTTGAAGGAAATATCGTTAGCCGTCAAGAAAGCTGATTCTGTTCACTGAGTTGAAGCTAGGACTTGTTACATACGAACCCGATGCTTAAACCTTTGAGCCAAAAGTGCTTTTACAAGCTGGCTGCAAGTCAGAATATTTTTCTGTTTCGTGTGTTGGTATAATTCTTTTGCTTAACATCTTTGATCTTTTTGTTTAGATAAACTAACGTGATTTTTTTATCATGAATTATTACAGACTTCCCCCCCTCCTTGCACATGATCAGTTCTACTTCTGCAAACTGAATAATTTTTTTTGGCCTTTCATTTCGCTGATGCCAAATATCAAAATAGTCATTTTTTTTCGCTTCTTTTAGATGGCGACTGCAACACCAAATTTTCACAGTTGTCATGAATTCTCTTTACATGAGCTTGAAGCAATATTATGACATTCTGAGTTGTCGCATGACTATGTTGACAGCTATGCGCCTCTATATCTTTCTATTTAAATAATCCTTATAAAGTTAAACTCATCTGCAAAATTAAGAGAGTTTGCAAATTATGTGTATTTTTACTAAAACTATTGAACTAAAGATACTAATTATGCAAAATATTCAAGGTCGAGTAAGTAAGCATATACATGTGTGTCTGAAGAGCTATGATTGTGGAAGGAATATAAGCCTACGAGGGGCTTTTGGAGATTTGTGTGCTCGTACTCCTTCATGACATTCGCCCTTTCGTCGTGCTTCTTGCCAGGGGTTGGGTAAATTTATAAGGTATCAGGTAAAATGAGTAGCCACAAAAATATGGATGACGAAATGAGATGGAGAATTGTCGACAGATTCGAAGCAGGCCAGTCACAAGCGCAAATGGCTACAGAACTCAGTATAACGCCCAGTGTCATCTGAAATTTGTGGAAACAGTTTCAGGACACTGAATACATATCGAGAAAACATGAACAAGTTCAACCAAGATCCACAACGACGAATGAGGATCGTTGTTTGACGTTTTCAGCGCCGCTACATAGGACTGCTACAGCTTTGGAGCTCTCACGTGAGCTGTATGCTGCCTCTGGGACCCAAGTTTCACTGTCAACAGTTACCTAAAGGCTTCATGAGATAGGCTCTGTATGTCAGAAGACCCGATATTTGCTTCCAAGCTACTTCAGCACCCAAGACAGCGCATTTAGCATGGTGCTGACAACATGCGCCTTGGATTAGACTTCAGGGAGCACAGTGCTTTTCACAGACGAGTCGAGAATCAGCCTGAACACTGATTCTTGGCGTACCTATATCTGGAGAAAGGCTGAAACACGATATTATCCTTCCCTCACCAGAGAAAATTATCTTTAGGGTGGTGGAGGTGTAACGGTTTGGACAGGAGTAATATTGGATGGCCTCACACTCTAGCATATGTTTGACAAAGGCTCCTTGACCACTATGAGGTACAGAGAGGAGAGCTTAGAGCCTTAGATTCGAATTTTCAGGGGTGTAGTTGATCCTGGGTTACGTTAATGGACAAGAACGCTCGGCCACATAGTTATCAGACGGTTGACGATTACCTGGAAAGTGAAGATATTCGTCGCGTGGATTGGCCAGCTAGATTTCTTGACCTCAACACTACAGGGCATATTTGGGACCAGACTTGAGAGCCTGTGACCTTATCCTCTCTGAGAACCATCTCGAAGTTGACAACTGCCTTGCTGCAAGAGTGGGATCAACTACTATAAGGTCTTCTCAACTGGTCCAGTATATAAGTGTGTCCGGTATGTTGTCACGCTGCACGACCTGTCTGCCTGTGAGAGGGCACCATGTCCCATGTTTAACTCATTTTCAGTTCGATATCACAACGTGTATTTTAGGCATTCCTTCACTACGAGCTTTATTGATAATGATGCGTACATAAAATGATTTTTGAATGATACATCACTTTGTTGTAAATGTATATTCATACTAATTTTCATTAAAATCTGTCCATTAGTTTTTCAGATATTTGACAAGTGTATAACAACTTTTAAAATTACGGCAAATAAGAAAAGATGCTTTCAAGTGAAGTAATTTTCACCAGATTTCTTCCGCATGGAGCGATATGATGCAGCTGTTATATTTTATTTTGTTTAAAACAGCAAATTTCGTTTAAATTCGGAAGATCACATGACATTAATGGGCTTAACTTCGTTGCGAGGAAATAGATTATTACATGAACTATTTCAAGATTTTGTTTTCATGAAATGTGAACCGGTTTTTCATTGAAAAATTCTATACCCGGAACTTTTTCACTATACGTTTATCAAAAACTTAAGCAAATAACTTCAGTTTAGTTACTAGTTTGGCGAAAGTCGTTGCAAGAAAATGTGTAAGTGGCTTAAATATAAGAATCTTTCCGGCATGATACAAATATTGAAAAACAGTTTTACGTTTATATTTTTTAGATACTGAATTTTCTTCTTTTGAGATGCGTGCATTGATGCCATACTTAGAATCATATAATGGTGCGGTTGCGTGTTTTATTGACATTCTGCGGATTTTTAGATGAAAATAAAAAGACAGCTGAACCGTATCTTTTGATATGTTCTTTTTAAATAGTTTTTTCAAGAATAAATAACAAGTATAAATTCAGGTAGTCTGCTTTCCAAACGGTTTGTCCATTGGAGAAAAACTGTGTCTTTTTCCATTAAACTGTTTCACCTTTTCATTGGAGTTTCTTTTAGCGAATCTTATTTTTGCCATTGTTAAAGCTGTTTTGTTTTGAAGTCAATTTTGTGATGAATTTTGATAAAAGGAAGAAAAAACTTAATATCGTATTAAAACAATCTCTGCACTACATTTTAGCCAGTGTTCTAAAATTTAGCGAGACAGTAATAGGATTAAAACTTATTTCTTATAAATAATAATTAAAGACTAATTTATACTTTTCATTTGCTTCTTTGAAATTAGTACATTTTGGAGTAGCTTTACACTCCCAATCTTTATAGCCAACTTCACCACACTTAGCACATATTTGCGGTTCTAGGAATTTTGTTTGAAAGTGCCCATATTTTGAACACTTAAAGCATTGAGTTACTTTCGAAAATTCTTTAATTTAAAGACGAGACCATCTTATGCTAAGTTTTCCTGCTTTGATAAGTTCTCTATATTTCTTAGCATCTACACTGGCCACCCAGTTTACTTTGGTATTTATACCTTTTATCGAAAATTTTAAGTCAAAACCACCATTTGCAAAGACCATATTTTGGTCTTTAATCATAATCTTAAGATCATCTCGAGAAAGATCAGAATCTACATCATAAATAATAATTTTTGGATCTTTCTTAACAGGCCGTTGAACTACATATCGTTTCTAAGCAAATCATTTGTTCTAGCCTCTGTTTCCAAGGCTATATCCAAAAGTTCTACTCTATCCAAAAAAGGAAGGAACTACTTCCGAGGAGGTCAAAAACAAAATTATAAACTCAATCAATCCCACCCAATTATACATTGGTCTTAGAATAAGAAAGATGTCTAACACATTGGTGTAAGAGTTAGAAGACTAAGAAAAATGAAGAAAGGAGGTGTTCTAATAGAATCTTCTGATATTGAAGCCTTGTATGATAGTACTAATATTTCAGATTTACATCACAGTGATAATATGTTCATTCCGTCTAAAATTTTACTATTAATATAAAATAATTCATTGGGCATGCAAAAATTGATTAAACGCAAATATTTACTGGTGGAATGATAGTATACACTTCCTTCTAATTTTGAGGTAAAATAAATGAGAAATTTACAGTTGCTACATAGATTTTGATTTAATTTGAAATACCATTTTCCGCTTAGCATTCAACTCAGTTGTAAGACTTACCAGTCGAAGTTTCTGTAAATCGTCTTTGAAGAGTTAAGGCACAGAAGTATCACAAGAGCAAAATGTAGTAGTGGTTTATATTTTCTAGGAAAAAGGAAAAGAATAAAATATAATTTATCCTTTTAAAATAATACAAAAATACAATAAAATGTTTGATTTAAACGAAACATGCATTTTCCACAAATAATTGCGCTTACAAAGAACTATGGGTAGCAATTCGGTTTTACTATTTAATATTTATTTATGTAAAATATGTTTTACAGAAAGGAAAACGTTCTGTGCGTAAAAAAAGTTTTTTAAGGCATTTTTCAAACTTATAATATGTATTTGGTTTTCAAATATACATATAAATTCTAAATGAACGTCTAACTAGAAGTTAAGCTATGAAAATATATTCTCACTAGCTTTCTCAGTTCTTTTTGGTTTTTACTTATAAAGAATAACTGATTAATGAGATACATTCCGCAAGAGAAGAAGAGGAAGAATGACCCTTGCTTGTTTGCATTAGCTGTGCATAAGTCACGTGATCTCTGAGTCATCTGCATTGTCTGTTTACAAAAGGTATACATAAGTCACGTGATCTATGAGGTCAGCGGAATGTATCTCCTGTTTTGATGTCAGCATGAATATTACATAAAATTAATATGTTTAATGCTTGACAGTGCCATTTTTATTTCATATTTTGTAAAACTTTCAGTTTTTTTTATTAACAAACTCTACAATTTGAAAGCGAGCAATGGCAACACTTTTCGAATTGAAGCAGATTTTTACCTCCAGCGTGCAAGACTGTTGCCATTCGAAAAAACGACGAGGGCGAAAATTAGAGTTTTCAGAGTTTTTAATTAATACCTCCACAGATTAAAGCCGTACGGTGCGGTGTGTGGTGTATTTAATTATGGCAAAGCACACTAGGGCTATCTGTTTAAGGGGAGGGATGCCTTCGTGGAGGACTTTCTAAGGAAAACTGGCTCGTATACATGTTACACATGGGGAAAACCACGAAAACGCCCATGCAGCCAGCCCGTTCGCGGGATTCGAACCTCGGAACTACCAGTGTTCAGCGACTTTACCGCTCGGCCGCTGGTGGGCCTTAAATCTATACGAATAAGCGTCAAGAGAATGATCGAAATAGCCTCCCACGAATTTTTGGAATCTGGGGAATTTTGTCTTTTTAATATTTTAAAGTTTTCTTTATTTTATCAGATACATATAGTGATTTGATTTTTTTATTTTATTCCGTTGCCCATAATCTTATTTTAGTGCAATCCTCAGATTTTGTTGATTATTTGATTTATAAGCGGGTAAATATTTTCAAGATAATGCTTTGCTTCCGAACATTCATTTAGATGCCCTTTTTCATACAATCTCAATTTTTGGGGATTATTACACAAGGATCAAAGATCAAATATTAAATATACTGTTACGAATTTGGTATTTAAAAATCTAATGCTAGTTCAATTATAAATTAAATGGTTTTATTTCTCGCGCAGTGCAGCGCGTGACGAATATAGAAAGAAAGCTAAGCCGGAAATTGAAAATACAAGAGCGCGTGCATGTAACATTTAATAAAATATCTCTTTTTGATTTCGAGAAAGTACTGGAAAATTCTAGCGCGTGATTTTAAAATCTTATAAAAGGAGGAAAACATCTCAGTTTGTAGTAAGATGCATTGGGCTGTGGACAGTTCACGGGAGGGTGACTCCCACGTGACTACCTCTGTCCAATCTGTGTTTTACAGAAAGGATGAATTTGAATATTTTGTTTAGCTAATCTGTTGCACTTAGTTGTGCCATTTGTCTTCATTTAGATCGCGATATTAATTTAATTATTCCAATCTAGATAACCTGTTTCAAAACTTGATAATTATTAATATTTCCAATATTTCTCATTGTACGCGTAAGCTGGTGACCACCCACGTGACAGGCTCCTGCCAATCATCTCCCTTACTCCACCTACATTTCACAAAATTTGACAAGTTTCGCCTAGTTGGCGCGGCGTAAATCGCTTTAATTAAAAACTTAAGTACCAACGCCTTAGGGCAATTTACCAACATAGACGGTTAAAGTAGCGGTTGGCTACTAATTGCCGCCTAGCCATTGACTCGATTTCGATTTCGATTTCAGTTTGTAGTAGTAGTTGCTTAGTTCGTTGTTGTTTAGAAAACTTATAACTTAAACTAAAGTAGCGGTTGGCTACTAATTGCCGCCTAGCCATTGACTCGATTTCGATTTCGATTTCAGTTTGTAGTAGTAGTTGCTTAGTTCGTTGTTGTTTAGAAAACTGCTCTTGTTGATTGTAGCGAATTCGCGGATTAGCGTTCTTTAGCTGTTTTGAATTACGTTCTATTGGACATTTGAGTAGTTAAAAGAAAACTACTGGGAGATATTGTAATACTGCATGACAATTTGAGAAAATTTAAGCATTTTTGTTGTGATAATAATAAATTTTTGTTCATTTTTCATCGGACTTGTGAATTCATTTCATAACGAACCCGTACGCACGCAACAATACTCTAGGCAACAAGTATCGGCGTAAGTTCTATAAATTTTCAGGAATACTGTTTCGAAGGTTCTATTTAACCCTTAAAACTATAGTCTTGCAAATTTATGCAACTTAACTCTGATTCTTGTTGCTTTAGTATCTTTACTATTTGTTCTTCGGAAGAAATATTTTGCAGCCATTTGGATCAGAACTTCGATTATTCGTCTAGGGACCATCGTCGAAACCTATAATAGAACTAACGGATAATAAGAAATCTTTCCACCGACAAAATCTGATATGAGCAATCAATAACGCAGATCCATTTTTAGCTTAATACATTGAACAGTAATGCTAAAGATAAAGCTTTCAGACTTAGGATTGAAAAACTGATCAAATTATATGCTAATTCGCTTACTATTACGCACCCAAATATGCAATATTTAAAATAAATCCATAAGTGTCTCTAGCCTCTATATGCTAAATATTAAACATTAATTTTAATACGAACCACCGGCATCGTTTTAAATTAATTTCTTTCCAAAACATACAATGGAAATTTTCTAATGGCGTTGCACGTGTTGATACGTAATTTTAACACATTTACGAAGGATTGCAAAATGCTTAATAAATAATTCATTATAAACATGATATCTCTTGGTTAGCGAATTAGCTCGTTACATTTTTAAGGGAGTTTTTTTTTTTTTTTTTTATGGAGTTTTAGTTGACACAGTAATATTTATCCTTTAAAGCAACATTATCGCCATTTGTTCTAAAGATGACGAAAAATTAACTTCATTTTACAATAAGGTTTCTTGTTACATATATTTCTTATTATTTCTTATTTTAATAATATATTTATTTTAATTATATATTTCTTATTTTAATTATGTTTGTTTGGAGGGCGATTCATTCTGTCCATCGAATTTTCTCAGTGGCTTACAGATAATAAAAGCTGACGATTAAAGAAGTCATGGACAGTCGAGATTCTACTGTTTGACATCTTTGCTATGCGTCCTTTTATTGTAACAATGAGCACGTACCATCAGTTAACATAGCTCGAAGTTCAATTCCGGGCAAAACAATGTTTAATTTTCAATGATTTCACGCTCCAAACATTTTTCTTCTCTACGTCTGGCCACCGAACTAAATTGGTAAATGATAATTAGTTACCAGCTTGGACTGGTCAACTGGATTGTCGTGTTATCTCCCATAGGCATTTTTAGGTGACTGGTGATGAGAAGCGTTACAAGGAAACAAGGTGACTGGTGATGAGAAGCGTTACAAGGAAACAAGGTGACTGGTGATGAGAAGCGTTACAAGGAAACAAGGTGACTGGTGATGAGAAGCGTTACAAGGAAACAAGGTGACTGGTGATGAGAAGTGTTACAAGGAAATAAGAAATTCATTCCATGTGGTCTTGCAGTTTGGTAATAATTAGAATCCAAATGATTTTTAAGGCTCCATTAATTAGATAATAGATAAGTACGTTATTAATTTTCAAAAACTTCTCCTTCTAAAATCATCTTTTTTCCGCTATATTTCCATTTATATAAACCATACTTTATGGAAAAAACTATAAAAGTAATAAATACATGTTCTCTTTACATTGCAGTAGCACAAGAAAGAACATTATATATGAAAATATGGAAACTTTTGGGAATAGATGCAATATATCATCTACACGAACACGAATAAAATTCAAAACTCTCCCCATCAGACATCATGTCATAAATCATGTTTTTGGGTAATAATCATCATATCATTGCAAAAATAAATGCATGCTCTTCTAGTTTTTTACTTTCAATAACATAACTTTTTTGCCAAGCAAGGAGCTTTTATAACTTTTGCAATATGAGGGAAAAAGAAAATTAATGGATGCAGTTTAAACTGAACTATGAAAAAGCGTGTTTTGTATAGCTGAAGATCTCGACCTTAATTAAAGTTTTTATAACTGCCGGAATATCTTTCAAATGAACTTCCTCTTTAATTCTCATTTAAGGAGAGAAAAAAAGTCAGTTATGTGTTTTTAACCATGGGAAAAAATAATTTCTGTTTTTCTTTACTGTCCATTCTTTACTGTTCGCACTCTTTCACGTAAGGTTGTCCTTGATTTCTGGAGAAACTGAACTTTATTACTACTTAAGTCCATATTTAATTGGAACGATGATTCAGATGCATTACCTGAATGAAATGTTAAATCAATTTAATAGGGTTTGTTTACCACATCATTTTAATGGTTTCATGTTCATGTATTTAATGTAAGAAAGAGTTTATAAAAAATACAATTTTCTTTTTCTACCAAAATATGGATAAATGAATTTGAAAATATTTCATTTTTTGCCAGTTCAATAAAGATGAGTTAAATTTTCAGTAACGCCTGGATTTCTTTATTGCACTACCTACACTGAGCGTTTTGGCGGTAGATGTCTCATAGAAAAAATCTGCTCATAAACCTGTTAAACTACACATAGGATGAGTTATTACAGTTTTTACTTTCACCAATGAATATGTACTGGTTTTCCACCTATTTTGTATTTAGTTTGATGCATGCTTCCAATGAATAAGGTCGTCTATTGTTCCTTGATGTTATATTTACCATCAAG